ATGATATAGGATGTAATTTTGTAGATGGTCACTTCTGACATCAATTTTTAGTGTACTGTTTTTTATTTGTTTCACAGAAGATCGCGAAATTTGTACAAGGCCTATTCACAACAACCTTGTAACCATTGTGACAATCTTGGTGACCAATTCACATCTCGACGACAGTAGTTAATTAATGGCTGAAAGAATGCAAGCCCTAAGAAAGAGAAGGATCTAAAATAAGGAAGTTAAGCTTTTGAAGCCAACGCTACCAGCCTAGGCGAAAAAAAAAAAATCTTCATCACCCCCCCTACAAGAGTACAGAGGTGATCACCATGGTGACACTGTACTGAGTCTAGGGTGACAGTATTGTAAAAGAAAAGAAAAAAAACACAAATAATATTAAATGTAAAAAAATCAAATAAAAATGTAAAGAAAATTTTTGAAAAATTATATTTGATTATTTTTTGGTTATAAAATAATAATTTGGGTTTTTCTTTTACTAAAAAAGATGACTGAATGAAATATTCGGCCAAGATTGGTTATAATAAAATATAAAAAGTTATAAAAAAAAAGGTTTTTTAAGATGAAAAATTATAATTTTTTGGTTATATAATTAATAATACATTTGTTTTTTGTTTTTTTTATTACTAAAAAAGATAACTGAATAAATTTTGGCCAAGATTTATAATAATAATAATTATAAAAATTTAAAAAAAATGTTTTGAAAAAATTATCATTTTTGGTTATAAATTAATAATAATTTGTTTGTTTTTTTTTTTTTACTAAAAAGATAACTGAATAAATTTTGGCCAAGATTTATAATAATATTATATAAAAAAAATAAAATAAAAATATAAAAAAAATTTTTTTTAAACAAATTTTTGGTTATTTTTTTATAGTTAATAATTTTTTTATTTTTTTTTTTTTACTAAAAAGATAACTGAATACATTTTGGCCAAGATTTATGAAGAAGATTATTTATTTGCAAAATTTTAGAAGAAAAACACTTTTTCTTTTTCAAAATGTTTGGACTTTTTCATTTATATAGCAAAAAAAAAAAAAATCCCAGTGGTGAATAAATACCACCAAAATAAAGTTTTATCTGTCTCAAAAAAATGCATATGGGTAGAGTGTTGCAACCGCGCAATTGTCATTCAAGTGTGATAGCGTGAAAGCTGAAAATTGGCCTGGACAGGAAGGGGATGACAGTGTCCGGACATGAAGTGTGTTACAAAAAAAAGAAAGAGCTAAACAAAACGTAAAACGTGGTAAAAACGCGTCAAAAAACGCATGTAGAGAAACACAAAACAAACTGCAAAAAGCACTAGAGAAAGCGTCAAACGCAAAATGCATATATGTGAACGAAGCCTTGAGAAAGGGCAATCAGGGTCCATATCCAAAATCAGACATGAAAGGGGTGTTAGCCAGCCACTGATTTTAGGAATATTGGGGGGGAGGGGGGAGAGAGGTAATTGCCTTGATCTCAAAAAAAATGCTAAAAAATACATATGGGTACAGTGTTGCATGACCGCGCAATTGTCATTCAAAGTGCGACAGCACTGAAAGCTGAAAATTGGCCTGGACAGGAAGGGGGTGAAAGTGTCTGGACATGAAGTGGTTAAAGTGTGTTCTGCCGCACAGCCACATTTTCCAGTTTGGTTGGTACCCAGAAAAGGACATGCAGATGGTTCTTCGGTGACCCTGATGAACAAGTTCTCTATCAGCCTTTTTATGATTCTACCTTGTCACTGCATATCTAAGGAAACTGATGATGAAAAATGCAGCTACAAAGGTGGCGATAATCTATGGAACATCTCAGGATCAGCATTCTCTGGGTGTTATCGGGGTGGTTTATCCATTCTTCTTCCAACGTCACATTGACAGCTTGGCTTTCTAGCATCTACCCTACGGATGACGTCACTTGGCCTTCCCTATATCTGTATCTTCGATCTGTGTGGAAGGTCAGGATTTCACTAAAGCCTCACACACGATGAGACTATCGGACGAATGATCGTTTATTGTCTTTTGCCTGCTAGTATCATATCAAAAGTGAAAGAGGTTACTAAAGTTACGAAAATTCTTGAACGACCGAAAGAAGATTCGGAAGTGATGTCATGTATTGTATTTGTATTGCATTTTCCGACAAAAACTGTTCTCAATAAACAAAGATTGTATGATGTGGTATTGTACAAGAAACGTTTTCGTGTTTGTCCCTTCAGATAACTTCGGATGAAAGCTGTGTACTAACGATCAGATTATCGTACGATCGCTTCCAAAGAGGTACTTTTCATCATTTCGATTTTTCTGATCATGTGTACTACACATAAGACTTGGAAGAAGTATATATGCTGGGACTTACAAATACTTACTCTAAACCAGAGGCGGACTGACCATTCGTGCACTCGGGCACCGCCCAAGGGCCCGGGGTCAGTAGGGGGCCCCATGAGATGCCCCTGGTACCTTTTCATAAGCTTTTTTGGGCGTGCTTTGAGTGTGGGCGAGGAAACAGGGGCCCCATGATCCCCTATTGCCCTATGACTTGTCAGTCCACCCCTGCTCTAAACACCAACATTCATCACAAGAGTCATGAGGCATGGGAGGAACGACTCTGATCTCTTCCACTTACTTTCCTCTTTTCTTGACTACAACTACAGTGCCTTGAAAAAGTCTTCATACCCCTTGAAATTTTTTCCACATTTTGTTCTGTTACAACCAAAAATGTAAATGTCTTTTATTGGATTTTATGTGATAGACCAACACAAAGTGGCACATAATTGTGAAGTGGAAGGAAAATGATAAATGGGTTTCAAAATTTTTTACAAATAAATATCTGAAAATGTGGCATGCATTCGTATTCAGCCCCCTTTACTCAGATAGCCCTAACTAAAATCTAGTGGAACCGATTGCCTTCAGAAGTCACCTAATTAGTAAATAGAGTCCACCTGTGTGTCATGTAATCTCAGTATAAATACAGCTGTTCTGTGAAGCCCTCATAGGCTTGTTAGAGAACATTAGTGAACAAACAGCATTGTGAAGGCCAAGGAACACACCAGACAGGTCAGGGATAAAGTTGTGAAGAAGTTTAAAGCAGGGTTAGGCTTTAAAAAAATATCCCAAGCTTTGACCATCTCACAGAGCACTGTTCAATCCATCATCCGAAAATGGAAAGAGTACGGCACAACTGCAAACCTACCAAGACATGGCCGTCCACCAAATCTAACAGGCCAAGCAAGGAGAGCATTCATCAGAGAAGCAGCCAAGAGGCCCATGGGAACTCTGGAGGAGCTGCAGAGATCCACAGCTCAGGTGGGAGAATCTGTCCACAGGACAACTATTAGTTGTGCACTCCACAAATCTGGCCTTTATGGAAGAGTGGCAAGAAGAAAGCCATTGTTGAAAGAAAGCCACAAGAAGTCCCATTTGCAGTTTTCGGGAAGCCATGTGGGGGACACAGCAAACATGTGGAAGAAGGGGCTCTGGTCAGATGAGACCAAAATTTAACTTTTTGGCCTAAAAGCAAAACACTTCGTGTGGCTGAAAACTAACACTGCACATCACCCTGAACACACCATCTCCACTGTGAAACATGGTGGTGGCAGCATTATGTTGTGGGGATGCTTTTCTTCAGCAGGGACAGGGAAGCTGGTCAGAGTTGATGGGAAGATGGATGGAGCCAAATACAGGGCAATCTTAGAAGAAAACCTGTTAGCGTCTGCAAAAGACTAGACACTGGGACAGAGGGTTAACTTCCAGCAGGACAACGACCAGAAACATCCAGCCAGAGCTACAATGGAATTGTTTAGAGCAAAGCATCTTCATGTGTTAGAATGGCCCAGTCACAGTCCAGACCTAAATCCAATAGAGAATCTGTGGCAAGACTTGAAAATTGCTGCTCACAGACGCTCTCCATCCAATCTAACAAAATTTGAGCTATTTTGCAAAGAGGAATGGGCAGAAATGTCCCTCTCTAGATGTGCAAAGCTGGCAGAGACATCCCCAAAAAGACTTGCAGCTGGAATTGCAGCGAAAGGGGGTCCTACAAAGTATTGACTCCGGGGGGCTGAATACAAATGCTGCCACACTTCTCATAGGTTTATTTGTATCAAATGTTGAAAACCATTTCTCATTTTCCTTCCACTTCACAATTATGTGCCACTTTGTGTTGGTCTATCACAGGGGTTTCCAAATTTTACAAACAAAGGGCCTGTTTACTGTCCTTCAGACTTTAGGGGGACTGGATTGTGGCCAGTGGGGCTACAAAATGTCCTGTGCCCAACATCACTGAGAATAAACTTTGCCACAGGATTGTTAGTCAGTTACATAGTGCCTGTGGGCAGTAGGAGGAATAGTGCCCCATCATTGGTATTACTGGGAGGAATAGTGCTCCATCATTGGTGTCAGTGGGAGGAATAGTGCCCCATCATTGGTATTACTGGGAGGAATAGTGCTCCATCATTGGTGTCAGTGGGAGGAATAGTGCCCCATCATTGGTATTACTGGGAGGAATAGTGCTCCATCATTGGTGTCAGTGGAAGGAATAGTGTCCCATCATTGGTATCAGTGGGAGGAATAGTGCTCCATCATTGGTGTCAGTGGGAGGAATAGTGCCCCATCATTGGTATTACTGGGAGGAATAGTGCCCCATCATTGGTATCAGTGGGAGGAATAGTGCCCCATCATTGGCATCAGTGGGAGGAATAGTGCCCCATCATTGGTGTCAGTGGGAGGAATAGTGCCCCATCATTGGTGTCAGTGGGAGGAATAGTGCCCCATCATTGGTGTCAGTGGGAGGAATAGTGCCCCATCATTGGTGTCAGTGGGAGGAATAGTGCCCCATCATTGGTGTCAGTGGGAGGAATAGTGTCCCATCATTGGTATCAGTGGGAGGAATAGTGTCCCATCATTGGTATCAGTGGGAGGAATAGTGCCCCATCATTGGTATCAGTGGGAGGAATAGTGCCTCATCATTGGTATCAGTGGGAGGAATAGTGTCCCATCATTGGTGTCAAAGGGAGGAATAGTGCCCCATCATTGGTATCAGTGGGAGGAATAGTGTCCCATCATTGGTATCAGTGGGAGGAATAGTGTCCCATCATTGGTATCAGTGGGAGGAATAGTGCCCCATCATTGGTATCAGTAGGAGAAATAGTGTCCCATCATTGGTATCAGTGGGAGGAATAGTGCCACATCATTGGTATCAGTGGGAGGAATAGTGTCCCATCATTGGTATCAGTGGGAGGAATAGTGCCCCATCATTGATATCAGTGGGAGGAATAATGTCCCACTCCTCTACTTAACCTCCTCCTTTACACTTGCACAGTGCATACAATCCACCACCCACTCCGACGGTAATATCCTTGATCTCGTCTTCTCCAACCGCTGCGCTCCCCACAACCTCACTAACACCCCCTTCCCTCTCTCTGACCACAACCTGATCACCTTCTCTATCTCCTCGTCCTCCAACGCCTACCCCTCCAAATGTCACACTACTACCAGCCGTAACCTCCGCCTCCCTCCACTCTGCAGCTGATCAACTCCACGACCGCATCCTCCCCCTGTCCTGCCCTGACTTGGCTATGACTGCCTACAACAACGCGCTCTCAACAGCCCTTGACTCACTAGCGCCTTTAACCACACGCAACATCAGACCCCGACCGCTCCACCCCTGGCAGACTGATCACACCAAAACCCTCAAACGACACAGTCGTGCCCTGGAGCGACTATGGCGCAAAACCAAATCCCAACAAGCCTTCACCCGCTACAAATCTGCCTTCCACACCTACACCTCCTCCCTCCATGCTGCCAAACAGGCCTACTTCTTGACCCTCATCAAGACCCTCTCCTCCAATCCTCGCCGACTCTTCTCCGCCTTCAACTCTCTACTCTCTCCACCCCCACCTCCACCCAGCACCTCACTCACTGCCCTTGAGATTGCCAGTCACTTCAAAAACAAGATTGACACAATTCGCAAGGACATTGCCGCAACTCACACGCCCTCTCAACCCTTCCCCTCTCACACAGCTACCCCCTTATCCCCCCTCCCCCTCGACATAACCCGCAGGGACTTTGTCGCTGCTCAAACTCTCTCCAACCCCCTTCTCCCTCACTCAGCTACCCCCTCATCACCCCTCTCCCACGGCCACACCACTGCTCTGACCTCCTCTTCCACCCCACCCTACATTCCTCATACTGAAGCTCCCCCAACACTCCGCACCTTTGACCTTACTACCATCGAGGAAGTCTCCAAGATCCTCTCTGATGCCCGCCTCACCACTTGCCCCCTCGACCCTATCCCCTCACAACTCCTACGACCTCCTTCCCCCTCCATCCTACGCTCCCTCACCCACATCTTCAATCTCTCCCTCTCCTCCGGCACTTTCCCCTCCCCTCTGAAACATGCACACATCACCCCCATACTTAAAAAGCCCTCCCTGGACCCCAATGACCCGAACAACCTCAGACCCATCTCCCTGCTCCCATTTACATCTAAGCTCCTCGAGCGCCTAGTCTACACCCGCCTATACTCTCACCTCAACGACAACAACCTCCTCGATCCCCTACAGTCCGGCTTCCGTCCCCTACACTCCACCGAAACTGCCTTACTCAAACTCTCCAACGACCTGCTAACCGCCAAAGCTAATGGCCACTATTCAGTGCTCCTACTCCTTGACCTCTCTCTGCGGCCTTCGACACAGTCGACCACCCCCTCCTCCTCAAAAAACTACACTCCCTCGGCCTCAGAGATTCTGCTCTCTCCTGGCTCTCATCCTACCTGTCACAGCGCTCCTTCAGCGTTACCTATAATGCTACCACCTCCCCCTCACTCCCCCTCTCTGTTGGGGTCCCTCAAGGCTCTGTCCTCGGGCCCCTTCTCTTCTCCATCTACACCTCCTCCCTTGGCCAACTCATACACTCTCACGGCTTCAACTACCACCTCTATGCCGACGACACACAAATCTATCTCTCAACACCCCCAAGTCCAATCTTTAACAAGCTCGTGCAGACTCCACCTCCACAACATCGCCAAAATCAGCACGTTCCTAACCCCAGAAACCACTAAACAGCTCATCCACTCCCTCATCATATCACGACTCGACTACTGCAACTCCCTCCTCACTGGCCTGCCTCGCCGCTGGCTATCCCCGCTTCAGTCGATCCTGAATACGGCTGCCAGACTCATTCACCTTTCCAACCGCTCCGTCTCCGCCACCCCCCTCTGCCAATCCCTCCACTGGCTTCCGATTGCGCAACGGATCAAATTCAAAATCCTAACGCTGACGTACAAAGCTGTCCACCACACTGCCCCGAACTACATCACTGACCTAATATCCAAGTACCACCCAACACGCACACTCTGCTCCTCACAAGACCTCCTTCTCTCTAGTTCCCTGGTCTCCTCCTCCCATGCCCGCCTCCAGGACTTCTCCAGGTGTCACCCATGCTCTGGAACTCCCTGCCCAACCCATCAGATTATCACCTACTCTCCTCTCCTTTAGGCGCACCCTGAAAACCCATCTC